CTGTGCTGTCAACTCTCAAGATGAGGATCCAAAGAGCTGTCACACTATCAGTGAAGCAAGCCATCATTAGGCTAAAAAAACAAAACAAACCCATCAGAGAGATAGCAAAAACATTAGGCGTGCCAAAACAACTGTTTGGAACATTCTTAAAAAGAAGGAATGCATCGGTGAGCTCAGCAACACCAAAAGACCCCGGAAGACCACGGAAAACAACTGTGGTGGATGACCGAAGGAATTCTTTCCCTGGTGAAAAAACACCCTTCACAACAGTTGGCCAGATCAAGAACACTCTCCAGGAGGTAGGTGTATGTGTGTCAAAGTCAATAATCAAGAGAAGACTTCACCAGAGTGAATACAGAGGGTTCACCACAAGATGTAAAAAACCATTGGTGAGCCTCAAAAACAGGAAGGCCAGATTAGAGTTTGCCAAACGACATCTAAAAAAAAAGCCTTCAAAGTTCTGGAACAACATCCTATGGACAGATGAGACCAAGATCAAATTGTACCAGAGTGATGGGAAGAGAGAGTATGGAAAGGAAAGGAAACTGCTCATCTGATCCTAAGCATACCACCTCATCAGTGAAGCATGGTGGTGGTAGTGTCATGGCGTGGGCATGTATGGCTGCCAATGGAACTGGTTCTCTTGTATTTATTGATGATGTGACTGCTGACAAAAGCAGCAGGATGAATTCTGTAGTGTTTCGGCCAATATTATCTGCTCATATTCAGCCAAATGCTTCAGAACTCATTGGACGCCGCTTCACAGTGCAGATGGACAATGACCCAAAGCATACTGCAAAAGCAACCAAAGAGTTTTTTTAAGGGAAAGAAGTGGAATATTATGCAATGGCCAAGTCAATCACCTGACCTGAATCTGATTGAGCATGCATTTCACTTGCTGAAGACAAAACTGAAGGGAAAATGCCCCAAGAACAAGCAGGAACTGAAGACAGTTGCAGTAGAGGCCTGGCAGAGCATCACCAGGGATAAACCCAGCGTCTGGTGATGTCTATGCGTTCCAGACTTCAGGCTGTAATTGACTGCAAAGGATTTGCAACCAAGTATTAAAAAGTGAAAGTTTGATTTATGATTATTATTCTGTCCCATTACTTTTGGTTCCTTAATAAGTGGAAGGCACATATGCAAACTGTTGTACTTCCTACACCGTTCACCTGATTTGGATGTAAATACCCTCAAATTTAAAGCTGACAGTCTGCAGTTAAAGCACATCTTGTTTGTTTCATTTCAAATCCATTGTGGTGGTGTTATAGAGCCAAAAATGTTAGAATTGTGTTGATGTCCCAATATTTATGGACTGACTGTATATGAGATATGTGCACACTAACAAAACTGTCTATGTCAGCTTCATGTAGAAATGAGTGTTTTTGCAAACCGTACAAAAAAGCAGATAAGGTTTACTCTGACTTCTGAAAAGTTTTAACCACAACTTGGGTGTTAGGTCAGATTAGAGCCATGGTCTGGGCTTTAGAGGAGATATGGCATGATAGATAAAGCTGAAGAGTGAAAATGCAAACCTCATACAAATAATTGTTGAGTTAAGGTAAAACAATGTACATGTATTTGATTGGAAGGTCTGAGGGTGTGTTTGCCTAAAGACTACAGTATAATAACCCTGATGTTATGCCAATAAAACTGAAGTGTTTGCAATCGCAACTGAGGTGATTTGAGTGCATTCACTTTCCGAGATCTCGTAGCTGTGTCCAGGTGTGACCGTTGGTATCTTGAGGGGGCCCCCAAGGAACAGGAAAAAGACCACCTACCTACTTTCAGTCATGTAGTCTTCTGGGACCTGTCACGTGTCCCAAAAGACTACTGGGAGGGAGGGAGGACACCTTCTGCTTCTGATTGCCTAGGTGATCGGACCGGAAGTGGGAGCGGGTACCTGTCAAATTCAGGTACCCGCTCCCCAAAGGTGGCAATCCTTAATGGGGAGCGGGGGAGCAGTCCTTAAAACAGAACTTCCCCTTTTGGGTGGCGCTCCGCTTTAATGACCCTTTCATGCCTTCCTTGTTTGCACAATCTGGCCTTCCCACCATTCCGCCTATATTCCTGTGTCTGCTGCTATATACTGGAAAAGGGTTTGATGGTTTTGTTGGAGAGTGATGTATAATGATGTTTATCATTTCCTCAGAGGAAGAGAGATGGCAGATACCCAGCTAGTCCAGCCAGGCACATTGGCCACGGTTCATGAGCTTTATTAAACAGTATGCCCCGCAGCACTGAGGAAGTCCTGAGCATCGCTGCAGCACCACCTTTCGCCCTGCAGGTGGCAGCAGCGTACAGAAGGTTGCACTGTTGAGCTCGGTGTGCGGCACAGTCAGCGCTCCGCTCCGTGTCCATATTTGTCATCGCACCGCTCTCCCTTCCACACACAGCGCACTGCAACCATAGAGACGGCGGGACGGAGCGGCCGGAGTCATAGAGAGGCAGCGGGGAGAGCTGGGACGATCCGGAAGTGAAGGTGAGAGCTGAGGACGGTACTGGTGGTGGCTGAATTACCGGGAGGGGAGGGAGGATGGAGGAGAGATGACCGTCCAATGCAATTGGGGGAGGGGGTACTGCTCCCTGTGTACACACTGATACATTGCTACTGTACAGCATAGAACATACATTGACAGCAAAGAACGTACACTGATACCACTGTACACTGACAGCACTACACAAACATACACTGACACCACTGTGCACTGACAGCACTACACAACATACACTGACACCACTGTGCACTGACAGCACTACACAACATACACTGACACCACTGTGCACTGACAGCACTACACAACATACACTGACACCACTGTGCACTGACAGCACTACACAACATACACTGACACCACTGTGCACTGACAGCACTACACAACATACACTGACACCACTGTGCACTGACAGCAAAGAACATACACTGACCTGACACCACTGTACACTGACAGCACTACACAACATACACTGACACCACTGTGCACTGACAGCAAAGAACATACACTGACACCACTGTACACAACATACACTAACACCACTGTGCACTGACAGCATAGAACATACACTGACACCACTGTACACTGACAGCAAAGAACATACACTGACACCACTGTACACTGACAGCAAAGAACATACACTGACACCACTGTACAACATACACTGACAGCACACAACATACACTGACACCACTGTACAACATACACTGACAGCACAGAACATACACTGACACCACTATACACTGACAGCATAGAACGTACACTGACACCACTACAGAACTTACACTGACACCTGACTACACAACATACACTGACAGCACAGAACATACACTGACAGCACTATACAAACATACACTGACACACACTACACTGACACCATACCACTACAGAACTACACTGACACCACTGTACACTGATGCTACTACAGAACATACACTGACACTGACTACTAATAAACATACACCGATACCACTACACAACATACACTGACACTACTGTACACTAACACCTACTACACAACATACACTGACACTACTGTACATACTAACACCACTACACAACATACACTGACACCACTACAGAGCATACATTGACACCACTGTACACTGACACCACTGTACAACATACACTATTACAGAACATGCACTGACACCACTTTGCACTGACCCCACTACAGAACATGCACTGACACTACTGTGCACTGACACCACTACACAACATACAATATTTTCCAATCAATATGCAGTGATATTGTACAGTACACCCCAGAGCACTGACACAGCACTCACAATATACAGCACACCCCATCTGTATAGTGTATGCACTGACACCACAGAATATAACTGAATCTGACACTACAAAATATAATTAGCTGTACAGTGTACACTGACAATACAATACAGATTGTTATTGTCTCCACGTTATACACGGACTCTGTACACTTCATAACACCAGGCGTTTGGTGTGCACAGAATACACTGACATGAATCGGTGCACACACAGTATACACTGATCGGTGTGCTTACTTCAAAATGTAAAATAAAAAGTGGAGCCCCATGAAGATGTTCTAACACAGCCTTCAGTCTATTACGTATTCATGAGCAAATTTCATATTTCTTGTGAATAGTATTTGCTGAGATCATTGTGTACACCCCACCCCAGTCACCTCACTGCTAAAGTAAATGTTCCATTTTTTTGTTTTTTGCATGTGCCCCCACACTTCTTGTGTTTTCAGTACCACCAGAGCACACTCATTCGTGTCAGTGCCAATATGTCGGTAGTTGCACATGGGCTGGCTGAGCCAGTTCAGTGTAAGAGCCCATAATGCCTGTTTTACACAGAAGTGTACCTGTCTATCACTGACAAACGCCCTGTTGGCTCATTGATCGGAATGTGTGGAGGAGTATTTCCCCATCACGTGTCAACATGCTGATCACATCATCCCCCAGGATCATCCACTGTTTGCTGTGCTTCTTCCCTGTCCTCTCACCCCCCCCCTCCCCAGGCACGCTTTTCTCAGTTCGTTTTTGGCCCCCTCAGCTGATAAAACCCCCTGCAAGTTGAACATGTGCTTTTCCTCCTCACTACAGCAGAACATACTCCCCTTTCCATATTTCCCATAGCTCCATTCAACTGCTGGAAGCTGCCCTGTGTACATTAGGAGTTGCTGAAGTCATAACATAAAACACAGGCGTGAGTCACATGGTTCCCCATGCATGGCAGCAGCTGAATGGAGTGGTGGAGAGAGCAAAGGAAAGGGGAGTATGTTCCTGGAGAGGGGTGGGGGTTTAATGTAAACCTGTTGCTGTGCTTGGACAAAGCACAGGTTTCCTGGAAGATATTTGACATATACTCCTCTGAGCTACAGCACTATTCCAAAGCTAAAAACTGGGTTCAAACCAACAAATGACTTGCTGCACCATCATTTCTTTCTAATCTCACTTCATGGTATTGAATTTGTTTTTTTAGCTGTTTTAGGCCCAACAAGAGAGACAGAATGACACAATGGAGGACGCTGGTCCCTCCCTCCTCCCTGACAGCATCCTCTACCAGATATTTCTGAGCTTGGAGCCCGCGGACCTGCTGTCAGCTGGGCTGGTGTGCAGGCGCTGGTATGCCGTGTCCCGCGATGACTTCCTTTGGAAGGAACTCTTCTACAGATACTACCATGTGCAGAGGCTCATCCATCGCTACCCAGGTCAGACCCATAGATGGGATCCTTAGCATTATGTGCAGCATAGAGGTGGACTGCATGGACAGAGGGTTGAAAAAATTGTAGGAAGCAAGTATGGCACAAGATCCACTGTATCAGCTCTCATACCATTAAAGTATTAAACCCAAAAGCAAACTATATATATATATATATTTTGCAGCTTACTAATTCTTACATGTGATGGCTGCATTAGTTTTCTCATGCTACATGGTGCCATGACCTAGAATGTGTAGTGGGAAGCATAAAGGTCAATGGGAAAATGGGTGTAAAGGGGGTGGGGGTTGAGGTAGGACAAGGGTTTGCAGCATGGGATATAGGGTTGAGGAGCAGGGGACAGCAATGTGAGATGAGGGTGTGAGCAGCAGGGGACTATAGGGTCAGGTAAGAGGGTTGTGGAGCAGGGAACTACTTCTTGAGAGGGAGAGAGGAAGCAGGTCACCACAGCTTTGGATGTTGGGATGGGGGACTACAGCATTGGATTGAGGGAGGTGTTGGCTAAGGGGATCTAGAGTGGGATGTGGGGGACCCCAGCATTAGAGGAGCAGGTGCATTGGATGAAGAGACTAGGAGTGAGGACTGTAGAGTTGGATGGGCAGGGGGAAGATGTATGAGACTGCAGCGTCCGATAGGGAGGTGACAAAGGGACCGCAGCATTGGATGGATTGGTAAAGCATCAGAGACAGCAGTGTCGGATAAGGGGGGGGGCGCAGAATGGGATGGAGGGAATGAGTGGGGTTTAACAGTGTTAAAGGGATGAGTGAAAAGCAGGAGACGACGCCTTGAATGGATGGGTGAGGAGTGGATGGCAACAGCATCTGGTGGGAGGTGAGGAGCGTGGGGCAACAGTGTGTGCTTTGGGAAGGAAGGAGGGAGAGAGGGGTCAGATGAAGAATGGTGGACAGCTTGAGCTTGTATGGATAGAGATGCAGAGGGAGCGCACTGGGGCTGGAGACAGAGGCGGTAAAAGGGTAGTGTAGGAGGTAGGTGGCAGAGCGCTAAGGCTGGAAGCAGAGAAAGAGATTGGCTGCTGTCAGTTGGTAACTAAAGTGGTTTATGGGGGAACAGCAACAGTGGTGGGAGTTGTGGTTGGGAGGAAGTGACAGCACAGCAGAGGGGCGGAGCATTCAGTGACAAGCGCTGTGTCCTATGTTCGTTTTCCCACTGGGGGACTGGAACACGTGTCTGTTTCTTTCCCTACTTGTGCTACTGTTTCTATTTCCACAGTGGCTAAACAAAAGTTGGATTTTTTTTATATTAACCTTTTCCTGTCCAGCCCATGCTAATAAACGGCCGGACAGGAGCGCTGCTAATGCAGGTGGATGTTTCTAAACGTCTCCTCTCATCCATTGCCTGTGCTCGCTCCCTGGTATCGCATGGCACCGATCGCTGTGCGAGACCTCTATGTGAGGTCCCGATTCATGTGATCGCTGATTGGCCAATCAGCGATCACATGAATAGTAGTAAACAAGATGTCACTTCCTGATATCATTGCTTATTACTAGTGAAATCTGAGAATGATCACAGAGATCACATGGTACAAGGCTATTCACAACAGCCTTGTACCAAGTGACAAGCTGTGACCAATCACCGCTCTCACAGTAATTCTCAATGGCTGCAGGAATGCTACCAGAGAGAAGGAGAAATGATTGCTTTTACAGCCTTTATGGGTGTAAAAGCAATCAGTGTAAAAAAAAAGAAAAAAAAAAAATCTTCATCACCCCCCACAAGTAGTACAGTGTCACTATGGTGACACTGTGCTGCTAGGGCGCCAGTATGCCAAAAATTATAATTTTTGGTTATAAACTAATTTGGGTTATTTTTTTTTACTAAAAAGATAGCTGAATACATTTTGGCCAAGATTTATGAAGAAAGATTATTTGCAAAATTTTATCAGAAAAACACTTTTGTTTTTCAAACTTTTTGGACTTTTTCATTTATATAGAAGTAAAATAAAAATCCCAGTGGTGAATAAATACCACCAAAATAAAGTTTTATCTGTCTCAAAAAAAATGCTAAAAAATTCATAAGAGTGCAGTGTTGCATGACCGCACAATTGTCATTCAAAGTGTGATAGCACTGAAAGCTGAAAATTGGCCGTGACTGGAAGGGATTGAAAGTGTCCAGACATGAAGTGGTTAAGGATATGTTCTTTATTTAGTTGGCCTTTCCCAACAGATAAGCAACTGTTGATTCATGGCAATCCAATTTTACAACATATAAGCTGTTTTAGACTAATGTAAAGTTACATGTAGACACCTAAATCAGAATTCTAGTGCTCTAGGGGGGTTAATTATCATTCCAAATCTAGTGATTATGGCAGCTTTTACAAAATACTGTAAAGTACAATTAAACTAGTTGGTTTCACTAGAACTAGATGGGTTCAACCTTTTGTCTCAGGTAAGCAATAAGCCGTATGATGTGTTTGGCTGCTGGCTTAATAACATCCCTGGAAACTCCCAGCATCCAACTACAGTAAAGTAAACTTAAACTAGTTGGTATGGGTTACTGCACACATAGTAACTGTGCTTTTTACAGTCCTATTAATTAGGCCTGTTATGTTGTATTTAATCTATTTTTTGCTACTATTGACAGGCACAGACTCTTGGTATGCAGAGTTCCAGCGTCTTCGTGACACTGTTCCATGTGTGGAGGTTCAGAGACTCCAAGAACACACGGACCAGGTCCTACACATCAGCTTCTCACATACTGGGGACTTGTGTGCCTCTTGTTCTAAGGACTGTACAGTCAAGGTGAGCATAGGTGATCCTATCATGTGTGCTGTTGTAAGTGTACATGGCATATTGGACCTTCTTTATTTGCTTTTTGTCCTGCCTGCAGATCTGGAACACCAAACACCCCTTTACTCTCCTGCACAGTGCTAACATGAGACCCCATCACTGGAGCTACACTCAGTTCTCGCAGTTTAATTATGACGACACACTCCTTCTGGTGTCTGGGGTTTTTGTGGGACCCCATAACTCATCCCGCAGGGGAAATTGCAGTTTTCAGTATTGGTAAGGTGATGGGATCCGAACTATTTTGCACATATATTTTTCTTATGTATTGTATGTGTAAACACCTGTACATAGTTGGCAGAAGTCAATGTACATCTCTGTCTTTCCTCTCCCTCCCCCTTTTCCTGTTCTCTTCTCTCCCGTCTTTTCTTTCTGGTTCTCTTAACTGTTGTTTTTCTTCCTTCTCTCTCCTTCCTCCTTTTTTTTTTCTCTCTTTCCCTGTAGATGGGTTCAACCTTTTGTCTCGGGTAAGGAATAAGCCATATGATGTGTTTGGCTGCTGGCTTAATAACACCCACCTTATCTCTGGGAATCTTCACCGCATGGGCCGCATCACCTCCTGCTCTGTCCTCTGGCTTAACAAGGCTTTCCAGGTGAGTGACAGACAAACCTAAGTATAACTGATATCAACCAATCGGATTCTTTCATTTTGTTGTTTGCCAGAAAATTGCAGCTGATGTGTGGTTTCTATATCAGCAAACACTTTTATTTCACACATTGGAGGGAACAATTCAGATTAAATGAAATAACCAAGTACAGGAAATGAAAGCTAATAGCATATTGGTTTTCATTTGACACTTTTTTTTTGCAATTGCAAAACGGGAGTGCCACTCATTCCTAAATTCATAATAAATTAGGCAGTCATTTAATGAAACGTACAGCTATGAAATCTTGACCCTTCTTCCCCTTTTAAAAAATTAAACTATTAGCTGCTATGGGCTCAATAAAAATAAAGGAAACTAGCTAAAATATACAGCACAGTGGCTACGTGGTTGGCACTTCTGCCTGGCAGCACTAGGGTTGTTGGGTTGAATCCCAGCCATGGCACAACCTGCCTGGAGTTTCCATGTTCGCCCTGTGCCTACGAGGGTTTCCTACAGGAACTCTGCTTTCCTCCCACACTCCACAGACATGCTGGTAAGTTAATTGGATCGTGTTTGTGTGTGTGTTGGGGATTTTGAGGTCAGAGACTGATGCGAATGTACAATATATACAGTATGTAAAACACAGCGTAAATTGTCGATGCTATATATGAGTACCTGTAACAAATAAATTTACCATTAGCTGTAATGTTAGGAATGCAAGCTCCCTTGCTTGGTCACACATTAATTACATGGCTTTTGCAGATGTGATTCTAGGGAAATTAGTTCAGCAGGATACCAGAGCCACTAATTGCCCTACATCAGTCCCCAAAATGGCTGTACCAGAGACCATGGCACCAATGTCTGTGGAGGGAGTTCAAATTCCTGCATCATTGCAGCAACTGGTTAAACCAAACGTCTAATTTCAATTTAGTTTAACTTTAACATGTCTCCACTTCTTTAGGATGTTGAATCCGAAAACCTTAATGTGGTAAAGAGACTTTTCAAAATACAGAACTTGAATGCCAGCTCCATCCGTATGGTAATGGTTGCGGACTCTCCAGAACTCCTTGTGGAGGCCGGGGAGAAGACTGATGAAACAGTACAGGGCCCTACCAGACCACTGGAGGAGGAGAGTATGGAGGAGGAAGAAGAAGAGGATGGTGAGGAAGATGGGGAAGGAAGAGATATTGTTGGAGAAGATGCTCAAATTGCAGCAGCCCTTCAAATCTTTGTAGACATGGATGCCCATAATCAGCAGCCACTTCCTCCTCCAATGACCAGAGAACAGTTGGAGACCAAAGTAGCCCAGTTATATGCAAAATACCGGACAAGGAGGGCCAACAGTCCTCAAAACCCTGAAGGGAACAAGAAATACCTCATCTTCACCACAGGCTGTCTCACCTACTCACCGCATCAGATAGGTACTCTGTCTTCTTTTGTTATTAGCACAGCTGATGTTTCATGCTTACAGATGAATTGACTTTTGAAACAGCTGCATTTACTGTATAGTACCACTGTGAGAACTAGTCTACTGCTTTGAGCATGCTACAGAAATGTCCCCAATGTATCTGCTGCGCTGCCTGTCCTGCCGTTATTACTGCTAATACCGGCTGTCAAAATAGCTGGGACTCACTCTGTAGCCTCTGCTGTGTAAACTAAAGATTCTGAACAGTGTGCTAAACATTGCAATATCGTTGTTACTATATTATTGTTGCATTGTATTTACGTTCTTTTAATATTATGTAGATCAGAGGGGTGACATTTTATCTGCATATCATGTCATTTAAAACAACCTTACCAGTAGAATCATATATACAATATGTCACAGAAGTGAGTACACCCCCTCACATTTTTGTAAATATTTTATTCTATCTTTTCATGTGACAACACTGAGGAAATGACACTTTGCTACAATGTAAAGTAGTGAGTGTACAGCTTGTATAACAGTGTAAATTTGCTGTAACATCAAAATAACTCAACACACAGCCATTAATGTCTAAACCGCTGGCAGCAAAAGTGAGTACACCCCTAAGTGAAAATGTCCAAATTGGGCCCAAAGTGTCTATTTTGTGTGGCCACCATTATTTTCCAGCACTGCCTTAACCCTCTTGGGCATGGAGTTCACCAGAGCTTACAGGTTGCCACTGGAGTCCTCTTCCACTCCTCCATGATGACATCATGGAGCTGGTGGATGTTAGAGACCTTGCGCTCCTCCACCTTCCGTTTGAGGATGCCCCACAGATGGTCAATAGGGTTTAGTTCTAGAGACATGCTTGGCCAGTCCATCACCTTTTACCCTCAGCTTCTTTAGCAAGGCAGTGATTGTCTTGGAGGTGTGTTTGGGGTTGTTATGTTGGAATACTGCCCTGCGGCCCAGTCTCCGAAGGGAGGGGATCATGCTCTGCTTCAGTATGTCACAGTACATGTTGGCATTCATGGTTCCCTCAATGAACTGTAGCTCCCCAGTGCCGGCAGCTCTCATGCAGCCCCAGACCATGACACTCCCACCACCATACTTGACTGTAGGCAAGACACACTTGTCTTTGTACTCCTCACCTGGTTGCCGCCACACACGCTTGACACCATCTGAAACAAATCAGTTTATCTTGGTCTTATCAGACCACAGGATATGGTTCCAGTAATCCATGTCCTTAGGCTGCTTGTCTTCAGCAAACTGTTTGTGGGCTTTCTTGTGCATCACCTTTTAGAAGAAGCTTCCTTCTGGGATGACAGCCATGCAGAGCAAGTTGATGCAGTTTACGACGTATGGTCTGAGCACTGACAGGCTGACCCCCCCCCCCACACACACACACACACACACACACCCCTTATACCTCTGCAGCAATGCTGGCAGCAATCATGCGTCTATTTCCCAAAGACAGCCCTGGATATGACGCTGAGCATCTGCACTCAAGTTCCTTGGTCGACCATGGCGAGGCCTGTTCTGAGTGGAACCTGTCCTGCTAAACCGCTGTATGGTCTTGACCACCGTGCTGCAGCTCAGTTTCAGGGTCTTGGCAATCTTCTTATAACCTAGGCCATCTTTATCTAAAGCAACAATTCTTTTTTTCAGATCTTTAGAGTTCTTTGCCATGAGGTGCCATGTTGAACTTCCAGTGACCAGTATGAGAGAATGAGAGTGATAACACCAAATGTAACACACCTGCTCCCCATTCACACCTGAGACCTTGTAACACTAACCAGTCACATGACAGCGGGGAGGAAAATGGCTAATTGGGCCCAGTTTGGACATTGTCACTTAGGGGTGTACTCACTTTTGTTGCCAGCGGTTTAGACATTAATGGCTGTGTGTTGAGTTATTTTGAGGGGACAGCAAATTTACACTATTATAGAAGCTGTACACTCACTACTTTACATTGTAGCAAAGTGTAATTTCTTCAGTGTTGTCACATGAAAAGATTGAATAAAATATTTACAAATATGTGAGGGGTGTACTCATTTCTGTATATATAGAGTGTGTGTGTGTATATTATACACACTGGATATAAAAAAGTCTACACACCCCTGTTAAAATGTCAGTTTTCTGTGATGTAACAAAATTAGACAAAGATAAATAATTTCAGAACTTTTTCCATCTTTAATGTAACCTATAAACTGTACAAAACTGAAATATTTTAGGGGGCAAAGTAAATATAAAAAAACTAAAATAATGTGGTTGCATAAGTGTGCACACCCTCTTATAACTGGGGATGTAGCTGTGTTCATAATTAAACAATCATATTCAAAATCATGTTAAATAGGAGTCAGTACACACCTGCCATCATTTAAAGTACCTCTGATTAACCCCAAATAAAGTTCAGCTGTTCTAGTAGGTCTTTCCTGACATTTTCCTAGTCGCATCCTACAGCAAAAGCCATGGTTCACAGAGAGCTTCCAAAGCATCAGAGATGTTAAAAGGTACCAGTAAGGAGAATTTTACAAAGGAATTTCCAAGGCATTAGATATACAATGGAACATAGTGAAGACGGTCATCGTCAAGTGGAGAAAATATGGAGCAACAGTGACATGACCAAGAACTGGACGTTCCTCCAAAATTGATGAACAGACGAGAAGAAAACTGGTCTGGGAGGCTGCCAAGATGCCTACAGCAACATTAAAAGAGCTGCAGGAATATCTGGCAAGTACTGGCTGTGTGGTACATATGACAACAATCTCCTGTATTCTTCATATGTCTGGGCTATGGGGTAGAGTGGCAAGATGGAAGCCTTTACTCAAGAAGAAAAATATCCAAGTCCGACTAAATTTTGCAAAAACACATCTGAAGTCTCTCAAAAGCATGTGGGAAAATGTGTTATGGTCTGATGAAACCAAGGTTGAACTTTTTGGCCATAATTCCAAAAGATATGTTTGGCACAAAAACAACATTTCACATCACCAAACGTACACCATACCCACAGTGAAGCATGGTGGTGGCAGCATCATGCTTTGGGGCTGTTTCTCTTCAGCTGGAACTGGGGCCTTAATCAAGGTAGAGGGAATTATGAACAGTTCCAAATACCAGTCAATATTGGCACAAAACCTTCAGGCTTCTGCTAGAAAGCTGAACATGAAGAGGAACTTCATCTTTCAGCATGACAACCAAAGCATACATCCAAATCAACAAAGGAATGGCTACACCAGAGGAAGATTAAAGTTTTGGAATGGCCCAGCCAGAGCCCAGACCTGAATCCAATCGAAAATCTGTGGGGTGATCTGAAGAGGGCTGTGCACAGGAGATGCCCTCGCAATCTGACAGATTTGGAGTGTTTTTGCAAGGAAGAGTGGGCAAATATTGCCAAGTCAAGATGTTTCATGCTGATAGACTCATACCCAAAATGACTGAGTGCTGGAATCACATCAAAAGGTGCTTCAACAAAGTATTAGTTTATGAGTGTGCACACTTATGCAACCATATTATTTTAGTTTTTTTTATTTTTACTTCCCTCCACCTAAAATTTTAGTTTGTTGTTCAACTTAGTAGGAGGCATGGCAAGTTTTTTGAAGTTGTAATTTTATGTTACAATTTTTTGGAAAACTTGAACCTAAAAAATATTTTTTTTTCTTTACACACTGTCACCAGTGCAGTACAGCATCATCCTATGATTGGTGTGGCAGTGATCAGAGATACTGACTGGTGATGGTATGTATTTAAAAAAAAACCAAAAACATTAATTGTATTTTTTTTATTTTAATTTTTGTTCCTTTTTTTTTTTTACACACTGTCATCATGGGGGGGTAGATGATCAGAGTTTATTTTTTTATTATTTTGTACTGTGATTGCTATTACAGTGATGATCACTGTAACAGCAATGGTTTGATCTGTCATGAATGACTTTCATTCTGATCACGTGATTTCATAGCAATCGGTTCATCTTTGGTGCACTTTCAGGAAGTTTCCGGGTACTGCGAACCGTAGTCATGGGAGCGCTGCACACCAGTACACATGTATGCAACAACATATTTACAATACTGAGCCTGGAGAAGCCACCTACCCACATTAAGGGGTTGGGTGTAGAGTGGATAAACTAGAAATGAATGGCAAAACAATTGTGTATAGATATGAAAAAGAAACAAAAAGGTGTTTATAAAGTTTTTTTTAATAAGTAATCACATTTCCTCTGTTCTCAGCTGCATAAGGAGCTCAGAGAGCTGGGGGAGGAGAACAGCAGGACACTGGTCTTCCCAGTGAAGGGCTGTGGGGGGGGCATGTCAGCACATGTCTGATCATTGGAGGGGAGCAGGCTAAGTTCCCAGCACAACCAGAAAACGGACCATGCTGTGCTCTCATGCTTAGTGTAGTCAAGTCTGAAAAAGCGAAGCAGAAGGACTGGCAGGAACATCAGGGATTTCACACAAAGGAAGAAATACAAAGAGAACAGGATACTTTTTCATACAAGTACATGGTACGGTAGGCACAGATCAGGAATATGAAATGTTGGTTTTACATAATCTTTACCCAGCCCTCCAGAGGGTCCCAGACACTTCCATCTTTTCCCGGTCTTCTTTATGGGTTCAATCTCTCTGGCCATTTGAATGGCCAGACCACGATGATGTCACTCCTGTGCTTGCACATGGGAATCGCATCACTCCAGCACAGAGCAGTTACTGTAAATCCGTACCTCAGATTACATTACCGCTGACAGGTTGGGATAGGCATTTATTACTATCATCCAGCTGAAGAGATTCTTCTCACATCGTGTCCCAGGGACACAGCTGGAAGTAATGGGAATTCCTCCCAAGGGGGCACAAACAGCAAACAAAACCACACAGAGTGTAACCCCTCCCCATTCATGCTTTTTGTATTCTGGCACCTTGAAGGAGATTACTTAACCACTTGCTGTCTGCGCTATAGCTGAATAACGGCTACAGCGCAGTTGTCCAGTTCTGGGAGGGTGTCATATAACGTCCTGTCAGAACTGCACGCCCCCTGCGGCGTGCACCTTTGGACACAGCTGATCACATGACATGGTTTAGGGCCAATCACAGTGACCTTTTACCACGTTATCAGCTTTATCCAATCACAGCTGATCATGATGTAATTACACTTGCTGCCGAAGTGTGAAAGGAGACATCTACGAGATATCAAAGTATTAGTTTAAGAGTGTGCACATTTATGCAACCATATTATTTTAGTTATTTTTACTTCCCTCCACCTGTTGTTCAACTGAGTTGTAAAGTTTATAGGTTACATTAAAGGTGGAAAAAGTTCTGAAATGATTTATCTTTCACATTTTTTAACATCAGAGAAACCTGACATTTTAACAGGGGTGTGTGTAGACTTTTTATATCCACTGTATCTATCTATATATGTGTATGTGTGTGTAATATATATATATATATATATATCCTTTTTAAATAAAATATGTTCCTCTGTAAACCCTTATTATTCTTTTTAGGTAACCTCAATCTTCCGTAATAACTCCTTCCTACCCTTTTTATTATCTCATTAAAAAAGTGCAAAATGGAAGGGCAGGCCTTTATTTGGTTTTGTTTTCTTTTTTTATTTTTTTTTTTTATTTAAAAAAAAATAAATAAATATATATACTCCACCTCATGTTAAAGGGGCTCACCTCCTTTTATAATCCTCCACAAGTCCTTGGTTTTGTGTTTTGTCTCTGAAGGTGATGGACCTTTTCTTCTTCATGAAGAAAATCACCCTTAGCTTAACTAGTTAGTTTATTTTTTATTTATTAATTTATCTTCAAATTGTTCAACCTCAGTTTTTTACTGCCAACAAAGAAGCCGTGTATCCACAACCTCGGTAAATCTTTGGGAGCCATACCTGCACACAATGCAGTGGACTTTTTTGGGGGATGGCCTGTAATGTTTTTTGTGGACTGGATCCTGCATGAGCGCTCACCTTGGCAAAAGCGTTGAGTTAGCCTCAGGGTGTTTTTACAAGTCCAGGGCCATGGTCCATCGCTTTGGAACCCATTGCCTGAAGACTGCTTTGGGGGTATGCCTACCGTGATGGTCAAAGCCTGGACTGTCTAGTGTCGTAGACTGGTTCCAAAGATCTCTTCCTCAGGAACCCCTAGCTCTTCTAAACGCAGAACACCTATCTGCCCTAACCAGGCTTCAGCTTTAAAACCTAAAAGCCATGTCCTACAAAGGTCACCAAGCCTTTGGCAAAGCCCTCTTCACAATGTGGGGTGCCCTCACTCTTGAAAGGGGGAATCTGTTACAGTTTGCCTCCCTCTGAGTCCCAGACCTGTGGTTTAAAATGGGTACAAAATAGAGTTTAAAACTCTACCCACTCAAAATCAACCAAAAACTGCTCAAGGACCGTTAGGTGTCCCGAGCGTACTGTGAGGCCTGTTTCCATTAGTCTGTCAAGTTATACTGTGTTGATGCTCTCCAAGCCTCACCCCACAGATGCCATTGTTTTAATACGCTGCACTGATGATGGCCTTCAACGGCTGTATGCAGTTTTTGACTAAATGGCTCTGTAAGATTTAAAGAGTTAAACACAAAAGCAAACATTTATTATATTGCAGCTTACCAATGCTTTGATGTGATGGTTGTATTCATTTCCCTTTTAGGCTTTTCTTCTATTTTCATACGGTGATCCAACCACTATGTCTGCCGGTATTTTTTTTTTTTCAACAGAAAAGCTTAAAGCGATCAATGATCATTTTATTTATGTAAAACCTTTTGTCTCAAAAGGGGAAAAAAAACTGTTTGTTGTAACTGATTATAGAATATTAGCATGAGTTCATCTTCAATTTGTTACTGTATTTAGATCTGCTAGTCCCCTCCCCCGACTGTCGGTGTTGCTGTCCAAATCTGCCATCTGTGTTCCTCCATCCTGAGTGGGGTTTGTATAATACAGGGAGTGTGTTACTGGTAAGATCACAAGGGGAAAAACCTAAAAAAACAAAAACACGAATACAGCCACCACATCCACTGATTGGTAACATATGATTACATATTAGGTTTAATACTGCTTTATGATGTATTTATGGTTCTGGATGTAAACCTGGGCCAGGGGTGTAAAGGGCTGATCTACCCACAATCCTGAACTGAGAAATAGACCTCTTGCTTTGAGGATTGACATGGAATTGCAACATGTAGATTCCCAAGTATGGGTAAAGTATAGATCTGTTTTTAAGTAGTTGTCTTGTTCTAAATTACACCTACAGAGCACCCCAGTAAATCTAATGTTGTATCTATGTTTATTTAGGGTTTATGCAGCTCCTTCCTCATCAGATGACCACAGAAGGGCCTGTGCTGGGCGAGATTCGTGGCCCTAATGAATTCTTCGACCCCCTTAACCATGTAATCAACATTCATGGACACATTATTGGCATGGCCCTGTCTCCTGACCACAGGTACTTTCCTGACCACTTTTTATGTTTCCCTTTTCAAGCCAAAATCCTTGGAAGTAAATGGCAAACAATGTTTTGGAACACACAGTTTATGCCATCTCCAGTAATCCAATAGAAGAGTTAGAAGTAAATAAGAATATGCTCGAGTAGAAACATAAAAGAGTGATGGGAGAAAGAGACCAAGTGGTCCCTTGAGTCTGCCATTTTTCTCACTCTGTGCACAAAGCTGTTGATAGGGCACTCTGTTTTGTACCCCTTTGAAACCACTGATTGAACCTACAGGTTGGGAATGTCTGTGATCTATAGAAAGGTAAACTGTAACAGACGCCCCTCCTTACTCCTTAGGAGTGAGGGTGCCTCTTCATTGGGAAGAGGGCTCCCAAATTGGGGTAGGCTTCGTGGGCTTTGTGTTTCAGGTCTCAAACCAAAATTCAGCCCTTCATTTTGATACAACAGTTGAAACCTGGGTAAGAGCACTCAGGTGCTCTGTGTTTTGAGATGATAGAAGCTCATGAGGAAGGCCATTTTGGAATCTTCTGCTGTGAAAGAAGAATCCTTCCTCCTGTGACATCTTTTATAAATTTGTTAAGTACCTTACCAAAGAGTTATCCTCCTTTTAAAAGAGAATACAGTATGTGTCTCATCTTGTACAATCAGTTTCAGCTGACCAGGCTTTGTACCACAAGATTCTATGCTTGTGAACAGAAATTAGAGCCATTCTGGAGATGTGTGTCATGATTTATTCTAGGGAATCCACAGAAAAGAGCGAGACAGATGATCATTGCCCAGCTACAGTAGGGTCCTGCAATACGGTACTGTGTTAGTTCTCATTGCCATAGTCCAATTAGCTGTGGTTTGACATACAGAAATTGCAGCATTAGTTGATTGCAGAGCAGGCCTATGAGAGTAAAAAGAGCCTTTAGATTTTCTATCAACAGAATTTTTAAATGAAGGAACCTCTTCAATAGGTACAGTAAGATGCTTAAGACTTGTGGTCTAATACTGTAACAGTCCACTTTTATCTGAACTCTTTCCACTTTATTAGAGCTTTGCAATGATTTTGGAGGGGTGAAAATCTGAACTAAACTTTTATAGATTGTCATTCTGTTTTGTTCATGGACAGGGAATGTCTTTTTAGACTTAGCAGGTCTTTTAGTACCCAAATGGCAAGGTGAGACAGAGAATTGAGCCTTTAGCGCAGCAATGCCAAGGTTTTTGCACACGTCAGAAGTGAGGAAACATCAGTTGTATAAGAACCTGGTGGTCAGAAATGTTCCAGAGCCTCTAACACTGCCTCTGCTTCATTCAATTGTATGTCTACTTCTTCTAAAACAGGAATATTGGGATCCTACTCAGGGAGAGATGGTGGAGCTGGAGAAGGAGCCTGGCATTTGGAGCCCTGGACAATGATGGCTGTATTATAGCCATTAGTCGTCCATGAAATCATGACAGTTGCAGAAAAATCTGCATTAATAGACAGGTAGTCCACTTGTGTGCCTGAAATAGAACTACAATCGGATGCAGAGACCAGTGTCAAACACGCAGTGAGGGTGCTTGCATTGGAGCAGGACCCTACGTGGAGTGTTTTTCAAGCCTTTAGCAGAGCGAATGTTTGGCTGATGTTTTGCTGTGTCTCCCTTGTGTCTGGTTTCTGCCATTGTGGGGTGGTGTATTCACGCAGTAGGCTACTGAAATGGTATAAGCATGTCCGAGGAGGAGAAATCGGCAGCCCAGTTAGTGACCGTCTTGTAGCGAAGTCTTCCTGGAAAAAGGCGGGCACAGTGTAACTTTTTCAAACACATTCCTGGTTCTGATAGTTTTCACTTATAAATGCTTATATACAGTTATGTCTTATGCTTGCTGTGGACCTTCAGTAATGCTTCAATAAAACAGGGTGACCCTCTCTTACCAGTCAGTGTTGCTGGTCCTCAGTAAGGGTCAAAACTTTGCCTGTTATGATGGGCATAATTTTGAAGGGGTCTTTAGAGTTTGGGTTCCACAGAGATGGGACATGGCCCTGGACCTGTGGTAACTACACAGATTGCACCAAGTGCAAAGGTCAGCACCCAAGCAGGATCCAGTGTCCTAAGCTACTTTGCAGGTTCTGGGTATGGTTCAAGAAGTTGTTCTGAGGTTGCACTGATCTCTAAAGCACTCGGTAACCCCCCACTCTCACTCCCTCTAGCAGTCTGACAGCAGAGCAGGAGCCCATGGCTCCCACTGCTCTGTGTCTCCAGGAAGTGGGGAGAGCAATGCTACAGCCAACACAGTGCTGGATCCATGAGAGAAGTCAGATAATTGTTTAGGGACTTCGGGGGTGGGGACGCTTAACAGTTAGTGTATTCTCTGCATTAAGAGACACTTTAAGATAGGTTAGTGCAGCCTTTCTCAACCAGGTGCCTTGAGGTTTCTTCAGGGGTACCGTGGCAAAATATTTAAAAATTGCCCAAAACTTGTATACAAGCCAGTGGGTGGGGACAAGTCTGCCTTTTAGTTACACAAAGCCACAGGTTTTCATTGTGAACCATTACAACCTACTAGCTGCCGGCAACCTGACAACCAATGACATCATCAGTTGATAAGCAGGATGTCAGTTGCCTGCACACCATCCTGGTTTGACCCTCCCCTGTCCCTCTCCATCAGTGCTGGGGTCACATTAGCTCAGTGATGGAGAAAAACTGAGGGAGAACAGAAATATTGGAATACTAGTCAGTACCAGTGTGCAAAAGTGTATTTTCTTTGGAAGAATAAATCACCTCTAATATTGAGTGTCCTACATGTGTGGATGTTGCTGCGTTTTATATAAAACTATTAGAATAGTTTTTTTTTCACATTTTAAAATGGGTGCCTCAAGACTCTCCAAAATTTTAACGGGGACCTTGACTGAAAAAAAGGTTGAAAAACACTGAGTTAGTGTATGTATTCCCTAGCAATAGACTTTTCTTATTTGCTGTCTTTTGGTCTGTTTGATATACTAAATAATAAGTGCAAAAAAAAAAAAAACTCTGCTGATCTGGTCAGTAATTCAGAGAGATTGTGTATCCTTTGCATACTTCCTGTGCTATCTCAAAGCACCTTCCTAGTTTTTCATCCGGGACCACATGATGATTGGCCCTGATAATGTAGATATCGAGTCGTTGAGTAGTGTAGCAAAAGACAGCGGGGCAGGTGAGGCAACATTCACTTCACACTTCACAAGAAACTGTTGTCAGCTGCCAACAGAGTAGACGCAAATCAGCATGTATTTTTCTGTACTTCCAAGGTCTTTCAAAGGAAAAGTTCACCTTTTTTTGTAACATGTTACATCCGTATTTGGGGTGTAACATGTTACAATTTTATGCCCCCTCCCAATGTGACAGCTAGAGGGGGATATTCTCCCCCCCCCCCCCCACACTAGCTGTCACAATAATAACAAGAAAAAAAAACCCCGTGAAGGAGCCCCAAACGGTTGCGTCATCCATTCTGTGAATGGGAAGACTACATGTCCTGACAGCCTGTCCGTTTTGTAGTTCTCGATGAACTACCATGGTGCTGTTGAGCTGTGGTAGGTCATTGATTCTTCCTGTCTGTGTAAAACTGTCTGTCAGTGTAATCAATCAGCCTGTTCATACCAGCAGTCTGCAGGAGACCTGCATGGCACCAGCAATCCAGGCTCCTAAAACAAAAAATAGTAAATGCACTTTTTTTTTTACCTATAAAAAATGTGCATTTATTATTTTTACTAACAAGTAAACTTATCCTTTAACCACTTCAATACCGGGCACATTCACGCCATTCCTGTCCAGGCCAATTTTTAGCTTTCAGCGCTGTCACACTTTGACAATTGTGTGGTCATGCAGCACTGTACCGTATAAAATTTTTATCATTTTTTGAGAGAGAGCTTTCTTTTGATGTTATTTAATCACCACTTTTTTTCTCTTTGCTAAACAAATGAAAAAAGACTGAAATAAAAAAGTTTTTCATGGTTTCTGTTCTAAAATTTTGCAAGTAATTTTTCTTCTTTGCGGATGAAGCGGAATGGATTGGCACAGATTGTTTACACTGATCATTAGGGCCCTGATTATCAATACAGCCTAAGTACTGACAGCCTTGCCGTGTTATCAGCTCTCCTTTCCTCACACAGGCACAGTGTGTGAGGAAAAGACTGCCAAAAACTGGTAAGTCTGTTTAGCATGTGATCAGGTGTGTCCAATCACAGCTGTGATTGGCCCTTTACCACAGTCTGTGACTGCTGTGTCCAAAGGACACAGCAGTCACAGAGTGCACATGGGAGGACCTCTATAGACGCCCTGCCAGAACAAGAGAGCCGTGCTGTAGCTGTCTTTCAACTATAGCATGGTACTAACGTGGTTAAAGTAATAAAATATACTATATTGCCAAAAGTATTCTCAATATTCCCAAAGGTGTTCTTTCGGGTTGAGGTCAGGAATCTGGGGAGGAGGAACTTGACTGGCCTGCAGAAACTCGCTCACCCATATCTTTATGGACCTTGCTTTGTGCACTGGTGCACAGTCATGTTGGAACAGGAAGGGGCCATCCCCAAACTCTTCTCACAAAGTTGGGAGCATGAAATTGTCCAAAATGTCTTGGTATGCCGATGCCTTAAGAGTTCCCTTCACTGGAACTAAGGGACCAAACCCAACCCCTGAAAAACAACCCCACACCATAATCCCCCCTCCACCAAACTTTACACTTGGCACAATGCAGTCAGGCAAGTACTGTTCTCCTGGCAACCGCCAAACCCAGACACGTTCAACAGATTTCCAGACAGAGAAGCATGAAAACTTTTCCACTGCTCCAGTGGCGATGTGCTTTACGCATCGGACGCTTTGCATTGCACTTGGTGATGTAAGGCTGATGATGTAACATCATCTTTCATATTTTACAAAAAAAGGGAGTATATATTGTTTTGGGTTTTTTAATTCATTTAAAGTGAATTTTTTCCCCAAAAAATTGCATTTGAAAAATGAATACATTTTTAAAAACTGTCCATTTTGGTTTTCAGCCAAGTGCATCCTGAATTTCAGTTTCGACAGAATTTTTAATTTCGGTGCACCACTAGTCCTTAGCTATTGACTCTGCAGACAGTTGGCGAATCCTGTGCACTGTGTGCTTCTGCGTGCGCTGACTCCGCTCTGTCATTTTACGTGGCCTACCACTTCATGGCTGAGTTGCTGTTGTTTCCAGTTACTTCCACTTTGTTATATTGCAGGGATATGCAATCTATATCGCCCGACACCTGGGACATGTAGTTTCGGGTGCCGGACAGGTAGTTTCTTTTTTGCCTGCAGCAGGGCTAAATGCTATCAGTAGGACTTACTTGACAGGTGGAAGTATTTGGGTGGCTGTTCTGCCACCTGATTGCTTCCACAGAGCACACAACTCCCCCTGCTGTGTTCTCTGGGCTCCGCTTGACTATCTTCTGGCCCTAGACCAGTATAGCAGGGTGCCCAATACTAGAGGGGAGGGAGGAGAGCATCCATTCCTACCCTTCTTGTCCTGACCTGAAAGTGATATGTATGTCACTTCCAGGTCCCCGTTGATGGCTTTCCTGGCCATCAAAACCAGTAAAGAATGTAATGCAGTGCGATTTGCATTACATTCAGTGGAGCACAGGGAAGACATGCAAGGTATTTTACCTGTCACCAAAAAATCAACACATAAGGGACTTTTTGTCCCCTATGTGATGGGTGTAAATTTTTTTACAAAAAAAAAAATTTCCTACTAAACACATAACCCCTGCTCCCACCCCCATATATTCCCATATACAAACTTAAACGCACATGTCAGGGCGCCTATGTGTGAAAATGTCAAATTGTGATACACATGCCAGAATGAGAGCAATAATTCTAGCACCAAACCTCCTCTGCAACACTATACGGATGAGGATTTAAAAGAGTCACCTGTAGAAAATATAGGGTACTGAAGTTTGTTGCCATTTCAGAAGCACATGCAGATTTTAAAGTTAGACACGTTGGGTATCTGTTTACTCGGTGCGACCTCCTCTTTTATATTTACCAAAAAATTGGGTAATTTATTGTCTAATTGTGCCCTAAAATTAACTTGAGTGTTTTTACTGAACTTTTGCGGTTTTTAGAACTTTGCAGTAATATCGTGTGATATGAAAAATTGAAACTACCACTATTTTATTCTTTAGGGTGTCTGCTTTCAGAAAATATATCATGTTTTCTGGGGTTTATGTAATCTTCAGGCCTAAAGTGTTTTGTTTTTTTTTTTTTGTGTTTTTTTAAATGTGTACAAAAACGGGATAAAGGATAAGTTCACCTTTTGGGAACGTGTTACATGTTCCCGCTCCTGCAGCAGCTCCACTATCTGAGCCTTCTGTGTGACAGCAGTATGTAGAGAAGTTCTTTCACCCGCTGTCACTTTTTTAAAATCAACCACAGGTACGATGTCTGCTTATAGTTCTCAATGAACTACCACGGCGCTGTTCTGTATTCTGGTAGTTCATTGATTCTTCCTGTCAGCGTGAAACCTCTTGCCCGTATGAGGTCTGAACAGACAGATCATACTGACAGTCTGCAGGAGTCCTGCATTACAGCCATGATCTGCTGACCGCTGGTACAATACTTTCCAGACTCAAAATAAATGTACATTAAATTTTTTTCTTAGATGTGAAAAAAGTGATCATTTAATTTTTTTAAAAAAGGTGAACATATTGTTTAATGGCGTGGACACTGGAGCTTGATTTGGCTGCTCAGCATGCGCTTGTATTGAGCACCCAACTGCTTCTGTGTGCGAGGGTAACCTGAAGGAATATTATTATTTTTTTTTCTTTCTCATTGGGGCAGGCACCTCATTTACTCGCTCAGCAGATGCGCGTCTGCTGAGTGTTAAGAGAGCCTGACACTCCCCTTTCTTGTCAAGCATCCAATCGGTGCTTATTACACTGCAAGGTCTCTCCACTCTCTGGTAGTCCCTGGGTGTGGTGCTGGAGACAGGTAAGGAGGGGTGTAGGCAATAAACAGCACAATGTTAAAAGTATTAAAGTTTGTCACCATAAAGCCCCTTTTGTTTTTAAAAACCCCAGACATTCCTAAACACCTCAGATTTAAATACGGCTTTGGTTAAAAAAAATTTTTTTTTCATCAGGACAAGTAGATTGGGACCCTGATTTACTCCCTTGGACTGGTAGTGGTATTACAGGCGTGTGGAAGTGTGAGAGAAAATTAACAGTTGACCGTGGAATATTTAGTAGCAAGGAAATTTCACGGATGGATTTATTGCACAGGTGACAACCTATCACGGTACCACGCTTGGAGTCCCTGAGCTCCTGAGAGCAACTCATTCTTTCACAAATGTTTGTAGAAGCAGTCTGCATGCCTAGATGTTTGATTTGTATACACCTGTGGCCATGGAGGTGATTGGAACACCCGAATCCAATGATTTGGAGGGGTGTCCCAATACTTTTGCCAATAAAGCATATGTCAAGGGAACAAATATGTAGTCCACACACATTTAGACACACACTATAAGAAAAAGACAAGTGCTTTAAGGATGTTAATGTTCTTGTAGAGAACGTATGATGACTCCTGTCACCCCTTCTTCATAGGTATCTCTATGTCAATAGTCGACCCTGGCCTCGTGACTGTGTGATCTCAAATCCCATGGATCCTCCGCCCATCGCCGAGGAAATAGAACTACGAGTTTTTGACCTGCGGACCTTGAGGGAAGTGAAGGAGCCTCTTCGAGCTCATCGTGCCTACACCCCAAATAATGAATGCTTCTTCATCTTTCTTGATGTTAGCAAGGACTTCGTGGCCAGGTGAGAGCAGAGGGGAAACATAGCTTTCCTAATATGTGCTTGTTTCATCATGCCATTGGTACACAAAGGTGTCTGTACTGCCCAAACACCAGCAGCCACTTCTTTTCTACTGCTGCCTTATATGAAACATTGTTGCACCTTTTTAATAGCTAGGACAGTGCAGTGGTGGTCAACCTGAAAACTATAGAGGGCCTTAGGTGTGACCCTCAACACCTCCAGAGGGCCACACAATAGCAGCACAGTTTCGCACCACAGTGCCTGAAAACTTTGGTCCTGCTGCATCTCGAAGGGGATTGCAACTGAAGTTGGAGTATAATAATCCCAGCATTGGTGTCAGTGGATGCAACAAAAACCCCAACATTGGTGTCAATGGATGCTATAATAACAACCCCCAGCATCCCTGCACTGCCAGTGATAGTTGACCCCAATCTTTACCAGACACCCCCCCCCCCCCCCCCCCCCCCCCCAAATCATGGGTGGTCACTTACCCATCACGTTTCTATGTCGCTCTCCCCCCATGCTGGGATTTTGCTTGTTATGTGGGCCTCTCTGCTGCCACTCTGCTTTCTTTATGGTGCCCAATAGCCTGCAGGGCCCGTGTTGGGCACCAGGGTTCTTGGTGTATCCTGATGCTGGAAGCAAGGCATTCTTTGCATAGTTGTGTTTTTTTCCAGTTCAGCTTCTTTAGGGTCTGCCTATGCAGTTGTATGCAGTAAAGCTGTATGTAAACCCATCTGAATTCATGTGAATGAACCTTTAAAGAACATGCCTGTGATTTTTCATTTCCCACACTGCCTTTTATTAATTACTTGCACTACCCCCTCCTTCCTGACCAGGCCATTTTTTGCGTTACGGCGCTGCGTTACTTTAACTGACAATTGCGCAGTCATGCAACGCTGCACCCAAATGACATTTATGTGTTTTTTTTCCCCCACGAATTGAGCTTTCTTTTGGTGGTATTTGATTGCCTGTGGGTTTTTAATTTTTCACGCGATAAAAAAAAAAAAAAAACTGACAATTCTGAGACAAAAACAATATTTTTGACTTTTTGCTATTAAACTTGTCCAGTAAAAAAAATTTTAAAAATCACCTTTCGTCATAAATTTTGGCCAAAATGTATTCTGCTACATGTCTTTGCTAAAAAAAGAAATCCCAATACGTGTACACTAATTGGTTTATGTGAACGTTTTAGCGTTTACAAATGGCGGTATAGATTCTGGAATTTTTTTTATTTCATTTTTAGTAGTAATTGTGGTGATCAGCGACTGATTGCAGGACTGTGGTGGGTATTCTGACACTGGGGGGGAACTGACTTGGTGTTACTGACATTCCCAGTGACACCAATACAGTGATCAGTGCTATTAAAAAACAAAAACGAAAAAACACTGTACTAATGGCACTGGGCAGGAAGGGGTTAACAGGAGGGGCGATTAAAGGGTTAACTGTGTGCTGGGAGTGTTTTACATAGGGGGTCATGTGTTTTACATATGTGCTTCACTGTAAGCACACTGCTTTGGATGGCTGGATGCATCCATCCAAAGCAGTGTGCCTGCGCTGACAGGGAGAACTGTTAGTAAACAAAACAATTCTCCCCATCGACGATTGTTGGAAATCATCGGCCGTGACCCGGTGATTGATAGCTGCAAATGGTGGCGTGGGTAGGGCGTGCGCCCCCTACCCAGAAATGCACATTCATATTATATATTTGTGTGATTTTGCGCAACCGTGCCACCTTGTAACAGTATTTCTGCTATAGGGCCGCATAGAAGCGGTTAAAGATAATTGTAGTGTTAGACTGAAATATGTAGGCAGCCAACGCTGACCTTTCTAAGTCTCTCTCCCTTGCATTGACTGCTCCTGCAGTGTGAGGGAGAGATGCTTCTTTATGCCTTGGGGGGGCCAAAATAATAATTAAAAAAAACCTGTTTACGTAACTGCTTCCCTGGTAGCCCAGTGCTCTCTTCATCTCCCCTACTCTCGGGCTTATGGACTGTCCCTTGGTGTCCTTGCATCCAGTGCAGTGGACTATACATTGTACTTGATGACCGCATAGGGAAGAAGAGGCTGTTGGTATTGATCTTATACCTTGAGGTGAATCAGGTAAGGAAAGGTGCTCTTTCTTGTACCCTAGAAATGCATTTAACCCTTGCAATGACCCCTGCAGAACAAGGGAGATTGACTTTGGTGTTTTATCATCAGAAAAACTAAATTTCAGCTTTACCAGAATTTAAACAGTTGTGTAAAGGTGTGCATCCCATTACTTGCAGGCTGCTGCGTCTTGTAGAAAATCTCTCTCTCAAAGCCTGCTTCATAGATAATGTATACTGGCCTGAGTGGCTTTCTTCTGGCAGTGTGAGAGTTAACAGCAGCCACTGCAAAGTTGTTGCAACTTGTCTGCTCCCCTTCTGCCTTCTCCACCATTCAGAGAACCTCCAATTACTATTCTCCCACCATGCATCATGTTCTGTAAATGGGTGTAGGAGATTCTGTCATTCAAACTGCTCCTCCTCCTCCATTCAAAGAATGTGATGCATTGTGGGAGAATATTTAGGGCAAATTCACACAATAGGTGGTGATAGCTGTTTAACTGCATTTTTCTACAGGGCACTGGGCTAAATCGCACTCACACTTCATTCACTGCAATATCAGGCACTGTATATTTTTTTACACTTCAAATAAAGCTCATTTAAAAAAAAAAGGGGGGGCGCACTGAATTGTGCAACACTTCCCCCTAGAGCAGATGGAGTGGGTAAATTTGCTCTGACTGCTCTCCATTGTGGTGTGAATTCACCCTAATACAAGCTCTCTGAATTATGGAGAAAGCCGAAGGAGGCAGGGCGGTAGTGCAACTTTTCTCAGTAGCAGTGGCTACTGTAAACAGTAGTGCTGGAAGACAGCCGCTCAGGGCAGTATACAACAGCTATGAAGGAGGCTCTGCAGGGAAGACTTTTTACAAGAAGCAGTAGGTAATGGGATATACCATCCCACCTAACTATTGTTTAGTGCAGCATCCCGCAAAAAAAAAAAAATGTCGTCTGTGTTAATGACTACTAATTAAGATTTTTTTTTTTTTTTGTCTTGGCCCAGCGGAGCGGAGGATCGCTGCGGCTACATCTGGGACCGCCATTACAATGTCTGCCTAGCCAAGCTGCCTCATGAGGATGTAGTGAACTCTGTGGCTTTCTGTCCAGTGGATCAGGAATTGCTGCTCAGTGTCAGTGATGACTTTACAATTAAAGTGTGGCGATCACCCCGTTCCCAGCGCAGCTCCATGGATCCTCTGGAGTCTAGCTCCTGGCTGCCATCCCACATGAGCTGAGGAGCTTTCCACACTTTTTTTTTTTTTATTTAAATCTGGCTACTCCTGCATCTACCCGCAGCACTCTGGTCTCTGCATTGTGTTATGGATTACGAAGGGCAGAATATAACGTGGCATTACAGTTGGAATGTAATCTAGAAGCATGTGTCAGTTATGAGTTCTTCAGAACTTTTGGTATCTTTCTCTTTCTGGGTATGTTTGGTGACTGTACAGACTGACTTCTAAATGGTGTAGTCCTTTTCCAGACATGTCAGAAGGAGCTCAGCAAGATTTTCCTCTATTGATAAGACATTTCAGATGACCACAGAAGGGCCTGTGACATTTGCCAGTTTAATATAATATAGCATATATTTATTTTTATTTTGTGGTATCCTAACTTTTTGTCGTGCATTATCTTACATGCTCCTGGTTAATAACTGCCCCAGTTTTGTTTCAATCTGAAGTCCCTTTTTTAAATCCCTGCCTCGCAACTACTAAAGTGCTTGTATACATTTTAAGAGTAGAAAATGTTTAGAAAATCAGAGATTAATTCCACAAATATCCAAGCCTGGATTCCTTTGTAAGGGTTGGAACCTCTGTCAGGTTTGCGTTGTTTGTGCCCCCCCCCCCCCCTGAACAATTGACAACCCTAATATTTAATTTGCTACTGGTTTCTGTCCAGCTGCCAAATGAGGGATCTACCCATGGAGGACAGTTACGAACCAAGAAGAGGCTCCAACCCACCCTGTCCAAAACTAGAAAGAAAAAAAAAATGTTTTTCTGAAGTTATTGAATTTTAGGCAATTTTACCTTGAGAAGCTGGTGCCGTCTCGCTATTGACACCCATTTTCTGTAGTCTGTTTTCTAGAGTTTTTTCTGCAGATTGTGGCTGTCTAAACTGAATAGTCATTAGTCATAACAACTTGTGCATCAACGGGCCTATTATATACATCTTATGTGCTATCCTGCTATTTGGTCATCCTTAGGAATTTCATGATCTTACCAAGTGGAACCGATCTGATATTTTGAGAGGATACTCCAAATGTAAAAAAGTGTTAATTAGGAAACCATGCCAGGTAAGGCAAAACTCTTGTGCTTTTATAACAGGAAATGCCCCCTCTTGATGCAAACCTATGAATTTGCACATTGAAAGTGGGTTAACATTAAGGCGGTGCATGTAATCCGCACAGGAATCACAATGCATTCCTGTGCAAATTATGTGCGATTTGAGACATTTTCTTTTTCTACCCGTATCTTAATCGCATGGGTGTTCTCACAATTGCATTGTGTTTTGCCATCTGTTTTGGAGTGTTCTTAATTTAACGTTGACACGTGCACCAGATCACATAAATGCAATGTGGTGCAGGAAATGAACAGGATTCACAGCCTTTTCTGCACCGCCTCAGTGTGAACCAGGTCTTAAGGTAAAGAGGTTTGCTCAAATCTCCAATAGCACCTCTCTTCAGTACCAGGAGCCAAAGAGAAATGCCAAGTACAGGATGGAGGAACATATGTGTCACTCCATTGGAATCCATAGTTCTGTGGAAGCTCTAACTAGAGCACAGCATACACAGGAGTTTCCTGTCTCTCTTGGCAGCTGAACAGAGTGGTGTGGGATTGAAAAGGAAGTTAATGTATGTTGGGGAGGATGTTTTCTCACGCAAGTAAAAAAAAAAACAACATCACTTTTATAGTAACCTAAAAGTGAACTAAGTGTGTTTGAAATTCTGAAAACTCCCGTGTGTAGGGCCTGCAATACTGTTTCAGGCTACACCAGAATCATCCCTGACATTCTCTTAATTCCAACTGTCATTTTTCCATTCTAGTCCTGTACAATAAAGCCTTCCTTTACCTGACTGTGAAGTCTCTAATTTTTTGCTGATAGGTTTATGGGTTGCTCCATAAACCTGACACATTGCTTTATAGGTGGCCAGATGATGTCAACACCTCTGACTTGTCCTCTGTGGATGGGGCAGTCTAAGCTGCTGCATATTTTCTGTGTAAACTTGTTAGGTGTGTCCTTGGAGACCATTAAAAGGAGAAGTTTACCTTTTTATAACGTGTTCCAGCTGCATGCAGGGTGTAACATGTTATTGATGCAGCAGCCCCCACTCTGCCGATTCCCAATTTAAAAAAAAAAAAAACCCCACCACCCAAACAAAGGTGGGTAATACAAATTCTTCAAATGTTTTCAGTGATAAGTCATAGAAAAATTAAATTACAACAGGAATATGATAATCTGAAATGATTATATGATATGCTTTATTCAAATTTAAAATAACATTTCTTATTTAGCAGTTATTTTTATCATGCAACACAGTTTGTTTTAAATCAATCGGATCTGGTTTTGGAATGAGAAGTAGTACTTGCGGTACAGCAATCAATATCATTTGACTGCTGGGCTTCTGAACATGCCCTGTGACAATACAGAACAACACATCAGCATTATGATCACAATGGAAACTCCAAAAAAAAGTGAAAAGCCTTATACTACTATCTTGGGAAGAACCCCCACCAAGTTCACTTCTAGTGAGGGGAAAAAAAAAAACAAAACTTAAAGGCAGTTCACTCTTCAATACTACAACGCACAAAATTTTACATACATTGTGGAGCCATCCAAAATAAATTGCACCAAAGCACATACAGTGCTTTACACTAATGAGCTGGTGCAGAATAACAGCTGAGCATTAACTGATCCCTGGTTACAGCACTTGGGCTGACACAAAGCCAGACCCTCCTGATGGGCACATGTTAGCGTACCAAGATGAACGCCTATCTCAACCATTAAGGGATGTTTGGCTGGATCAAAACCTTAAGCCAAACTCTTCATGTAACTACCTGAAAAAGGCCTTACTGGGATGGTAATGCTGCCACATACCACGATGGCCAAATGCTGATCAGTTATCCCATAAAAAGCAGCATCACCCTTAAGTGGACCTGTAGCAAAGCAACAGGTCCTCGTTAATGGCTGCCCCACCGCAAGCAAAAGTCATTTCTAAATTCTAGAATTAATCTTTTTAATGCATGTTAATGTTTAAAGCACCTACTTTTTTTTGGGGGGGGGGGGGGGGTGTTAGAGTGGCACAAACTTTAGCAGTGCACCATTCTTTTTCTTCTAAAGCTGAGAAAATGGAGCAGCTTCTAACAAAGAGGAGCACCAGCCCCTGTTGCAGCTCAAAGGACAGAAAGAGGAAGCTAGTAACTACATTTACCAGGGTTAATAGGTAGGTAGATAGATATAGAAAAGAATAGAATAAAATATAGATAGATCTAAGGAGGCTGCACTACATGTACCTGCAATCAGCAGCTAGCGGCTGTAATCTTAGACCCCTGCAGACTCTCAGTATAGCAGACTTCTCATACACATAGGTAGTTATTGATTCTTCTTGAAGAATCAATGAACTACCAGAGTGCATACTTGTGGTTCATTGAGAACTACAAGCCATCTGCCGCAATAGCTGATGGCACTTGGGGGCCATTCATTCACAGGAAACTGAATAAATGATGTATTCGTGAAGGCAGTTACAAAAATAAACAACATATATACATATATATATATATATATATATATAAAATAAAATAAACATGCTGTGCCACTTCACTGAAAAACATTTAAAATATACCTATTATAAAAGATGCCCCACACTTCTATCCACATCACAACAAAAACAAAACATGTCACACAGTGAAAATCTTTTTCAAACCATAAAAAAAAAAAAAAAAAATTGAAAAGCACTTATAAAAGTCCTTAATTTGATAAGTGTCATATAGAATTGCAAAAGATCACAAAGTGCCAGTAAAGGTTCCTGATGTCACCTATGAACGCAATTCACCTTAAGGAATCCACGCCATCAGTCTTTCAAGCAGGCACTTACCAGAGAAGCAAGACCCCCCTCCAATGTCTGAGTGACCGAATCCCAATGTTAACAAGGCATGGAACCCACACCCATTTTTTATATCCCTCTGGCTCATTTCCAATGTGGATGGAGATTCTATCCACTCAGCCACTAGTGGAAAATCTCTACAAATTAATACAGAGGGGAAAAACAAACAAAAACATAGAAACATTGCGTAATGGAAATGATGAATGATCTCGGATTGGGTTGACACATGAATTGTAATGCAAGTCAAACATATTGTGTGTGTTTCATTTACTTATTTGGGATATAACACATCACATCCAAAAAAGTTAAATAAGGGAAAGTGCAATATGTAAATCCATCCACACAATAAGATCTCCAAGGGGGGTTGTCATGTAGATATTGTAATGCAAGTCACATTCAATACACCTATTGCTAAATAATAATAATACAACCCAGCTACAGAGATAATGGATGCTTTGGCACTTTTCTTTCAAAAATATTAAAAAGCAACAGGAACTGTTATTTGTAATAAAAAAAAAACATGCATATGTGAGTATGTAAATCACTATTTACTTTAACATGCACACTGCAAAAAAGAAATAAAAAAGTTAGATATTATAAATACACATACTTAACAATCTGAAAAGTATATTTTAAATCTAGTAAAAGTATACTAAACCCAGGACCCTGCATTCACTATCTCTGGTCTCCCACAGTACACACAAAACATTGAAATGCAATTATTTTAGTAAATATAAAGTGCTAAATACATTTTCTCATCAGCAGTATATAGCAGTCTTGTGACTTCTATCAGTGTATAGCAGAGCACTGCTTAAAGCCTGTAGGATGAGTTTTCATTTTCCTCTCACTGCCCTGCGAGACTGCATGACCCCTGATCCTCTGTCTGGACAGTGTTGATCGGCCCTGTGCTGATCACATACATTCGCCACAGAAAAAGAAAAACCGCTCTACAAGTACACACCAAACTAAGCAGGGCAGAGTGTCTCTGAGCCTGTGTTCTAGCAGAAGATGAAATGGGGAACGTGGAAGAAGGGGAGGAACAGAGAAGACAGGATCAAACATCCTTTTTACACAATGCAGAGGGTTAACCCCTTAGGTTCCACAGTGAGTATAACAAGCATGCTTTACTGCATATAC